TATGACATGATCACTATTCATGTGTCGTGCTGGGGTCAGGAGGGACCACACTGTTGGTGAGAATTTCTTGCCACGTGTCTGGCATTGTGAAGTTCATTGTAGTCTGGTAATCAGTAGCAGCAGGACCTATCTTCTAAGTAAATGACTAGTTCAATTAATTACTATATAGCGAATGTATCTAATTTGTAAAATGACGTGTAGTCAAACTGAAGGTTTTGTTTATGCAGATAATAAAGAGAAACTTTCACCTGTTCTCTTAGCTACAATCAGTGTTGATTGAAAGAGAACAAAAACTTTACATTACTCAGTATATGATATGGACATATTTCTAAATCACCTTGGACTGTTGGTTTGTTGTTGTTTTTTTTTTTTTTTTTAGTTTTTCTTACATTCAGAAATCCAAGTGCAGTAAAAGAAATGTGAAAAGAAATTGCCCCTTTTTAATTAAAAGATCTATCTTAACTTTAAAACTAGATAAAGATCCATCAAATCTTTATCATTTAATTGTGAAAAATTGTTGGTTTAATTCATGCAACTTCTTGAAATTACCACCGGTTATTTGGGCAAATATATTTTCTCCAGTACTTAATCAAAATGTGATGGGATGTGGAAATCACTGAAACAAACAAAAAAGTCTCATTTTGAAGTTCCCATGTCCTATGTTCATAAAGGGAAATTATATGTGTATAGTGACCAGTTTTTACCACCACAAGGGAATACTTACTTCAACAGTGAAATATGGCCCTGTTGTTGGATCTATCTTTTGGCCTCCAAAAGAGATTTGATTAACTGGGGGGCAAGGAACGTATCTGAAGTAGAAAAAAATTAAAGCTAATTGGAGACATTTATGCCACACTGATATCATTGTTCTGGTATGTAAAACTGAATGTTTATATTTTGATTAAGAAGAGGAGGTAGAGCAGAAGGGAATGAGGGAAAACAATATATTCTTTTCGGCTTTTCCAAAAGAAAGAAAGATCAAAGTAGGAAAGAAATTTAGTGATCTTCTTCTGCATATTGAAAACCTATGTCTAATCAAAGTGAAAGATGTTATTTCCATTTTATGTAGTTGTGACAGAACTTATACAACTTAAAACCCAGCAGAGTAAGGGCCTCCTTTGCCAATGTGAATTTCCTTGTCTTCCTTTTAATGAGTGAAGATCAGATGCCTTATTTGGACATAGGGAAGATGAGAACAACATCTTGCTACTGAAGTTAATTATAGTTTAATATGTTACTTTTATCATTGTACAAGGTCAATGAATATTTTCACATCACTTAGTATAAATCCTGAAATATTCAGCATGCAATTCCATGAGAGAATGAATAGTGCCATTTAGATCAGTGAGGAAGGAAAGGAAATTGGTGCTATGTGTTTTGGATGATAGATGGGTTATCATCTAGTCTTCAGTTTTCTCTTTAGCTTGTCAAGTCTACATGAAGTTATCTCAGACTTAGACTTGCAACTGCTAAACTAATTGGGCTAAGAGCAGAGGAGAATTTTTATTTTTTATTTATTTTTTTTACCATTAGTCCAATATTATTACTTTTATTGATAAAAGAAAGAAAATTAGAGACTGAGGGAACTGAATCAGAGAGAAAGAGGCTTTGGAAAAACCTAAATGTAGCTTTGCAGCACTGATGAAGCATTGGCTATCAAGACACTGGAGCCAGGTTCTGTGTAGAAGTACATGATGAGAGGACAGAGTTGGTGGATATAAAAAGGTTCTGGTTGGATATAAGGAAATACTTTTCCACCATGAGGACATTCAGGCCTCATGGAATGGGTTATGGAGAGTTTCTGTTTTAGGAAGTTTCCAAGGCTTAACTGACCCTCAGAAACTTGGTGGTTTTTTCTGGTGAGAGCAGGTTAGACTACACATCTAATCTTTTCCAACCTGAATTATCCAGTGCTTCTCTGACGTTCACTCTTCCCAATCAAAAAGAGTGATTTTGTGCATATGTGTATTTCAGTTATGTAATTTTTATATTTTCTGTAACAGTGACTTAGAATGCATCATCAAAAATATCTTTAGAGCATTAGGTGGCAGTTCTTTTGCCTATTTCTTTTCCCCGTGGTTTCATTGGTGACTGTTAACTGGTGAGATCTACAAAACATGATCATACTTCCTTTTTTCTTTAAAAATACCCCCATCCCTCCCCCCACACACACGCACAATCCGATAATAACTGTCTCTCTCTCTTATTTTTACCCATTACATAATAATAAATATTAGAAAGTACATTGGAGATGGTCTTTATTAATTTCATTCTTATTCATTTTTCACTTTGCTTCAAGTAGTCATTATTACATATGAATAAAAAAATGAAACTACAGCCCTTTTGTTAGGGGTCTACCCTTTATGTAGACACATACTTCCCTGATTTGGGTAGTTAATGAGCGATCAGCTGCATTCTTTAATGAGTGCTTGATCTGTTTCTTCAATGAATTCTTGATCTGTTGGTCTGTTTCTTACATTTGTGAGATGTCTTTTACCTGTAATTATGGTAATATTTAATATTTTTAGTGTGCTGTTGGTTACAGAATGAGTTTTGGAGTGATCCATTTTATACTTATTCATGAAATTATTCTTCTCTTTCAAAAAGAAGTAATAGATAGTCAGTTTCTTCACATTAATGCGGGGGACAGAAATTATTTCTGATCAAGGAATTTAACACAGACGGTGATGTTAATGTCAGCAAGAAGAGACTTTAGGAGGAAGATTTAATTCACTTAACTGTAGCAGAAAAAGTCTGAAACAGCTTTAGTGGTTAAATTACTTTTGACATAAATTTTTGTTTATGTCCCTAATATTCCTGTGGTATATTTTTGAGTGATAGATCGTTTAGGCTGACTTGCAGATCTGAAAGATTAACATTTTACCAATATTCAGTTACCTTGTTACTGTTGTTAGTGTAAGAGGCAGTTTAACTGAAAAATGAATATTAATAAAATGTCTTTTTAGTAATTCATTTTGAAAGCCATTTGACCTTAACTAGAGTGAAAGTGGACTGTAAAAATCATCATAGATTCTCTTCCTTGAACTTTTCACAATGCAGAAAAATGACTGAGGGAAAGAAGCAAGATCCAGTTACTGTACCCTGTTTGTACAGCTGTACTTCATTGAGCGGAGGCTTGTGTTACACACAGTTTGTGATAGGAAGTAAATGCTTTTAAAACAACTAAGGAGACAGGTCTTTAACCTCCACCTTTTCAGATGCTTTTTTCACTCATTTAGCTTCTGTTGAGGTCTTGGGAAACATTTTAAATACAAATTATTATTGAGTACTGAAGCTCACCTGAATAATTCATCTCCTAGTGAGCTCATTAGGCTGGAATAAATCAAGATGTTTTGTTAGTGTTATTTTTCTGATTTTTTTTTTTTTTTTTTTTTTTTTTTGAGAAAGAGATCACTAATTCTTGATACAGTGAACGTTTGCTGCTTCAGGAAGAAATGCTTTAAAGAATTAATAATTCTCAGGTTGAATGTTAAGTTAGTTTTATGATAACTGAACCTACAGTTTCCATTCAGCAATGGTAAGGATTTTCTTAGAAAATATGCAGAAATGGTGTTGTTATGCAGTCTGCCAAAAATCCATCAAAATTCATTACATTTTAAAATCTCATTATCTAACATACAAGTCTGTTACTTCCTATTTCAAGACTGTCAAGTCCATTGAAATGTTTCAGGCACCTTAAGATTGATCTTTTCACATTGCAAACATTTTAATCAACAGGCCTGAACTACTGAGTGGAAGCTTGACGCTAGATAATTTCAAACCTTCAAATACACATTATAAGATCATTCTGTGAGTGGTGTTATAATATCTGCAAATGGCACTTCTCTGATTGTTTGGGTCAAACAATTCAGCGGTGAAGGTACCACGCAGTTGGTGGACAGCTAGTTAACTTGTAATTTCTGTAATCTGCTGATGCTTTGAGTATGCTTCATCCCTTGGGATATATGTGACCTTGAATTAGTTTTTGTGCTAAATAGGCATTATTTGATCTACATTAGCCACCCACTTTCCCATTTTGTTGTGATTAAGGTCTTCCTCTTTCTTTGTGTCTTTGTATCTGATGGCCGTGAGTTTTTTCTGGCTTTCTTTTCTGTTTGATAACCTCTCACTTAAGACTGTTTAGATTAAAAAAAAAAAAAAAAAGTAAATATTCATTGTGAAGAGAGCATCCAAATTTGCACTGTATGAGAAAATGTTTTGAAATACAAATAGGATTTTGAAATATTTTTGTTCACTGTAGTACAACAGAGGTGTCACACTTTCAGAAAAAAAACCACCTGACCCTGTTTTTGCCCTTATTCCAGCAACTTTTCTTAACTGTAGCACAACAGAATTTTCACTGTCTTTTGACTGATTCCAGAATTTCCAACACTTTCCAGAAAGAAGCCATTTGTTTTTCCATTTGTGTAAAAAGAGTGGGCAGGCAATGGTGTTTTGTGGTCTGTGGTACAAGTGGATTTACGTGCTCCAGAAAAGCATAACAAGCAGATGTTGGTTAAGTTGTTTAAATACGAAGCATAAGACTAGTGGAACATTCTGTGTTTCCTTCTAGTGTTGAATTATAACTTCAGTAAACAATGAAAGCTTTAAGACGTAGTCAGTCCTTGTCCCTGTTAACCCCATGGAGCTCCTAATGAATCTCATGTTATCAGGAGACTTAGCTCAGGCTTTCTGAATGTTAAGCTCTCTTCTCATATCTCCTTCTGCCCCTCCCATGATGACTTTTGTTCCTGCTGTAGTCTCACTTTCATCGACACAAAAGTTACACTGACTTGTATCTGCTTATTGACATTTAACCCATCCTACTGAAGCTCTCTCTGAACAATAGTTTTTATTACCTGGTATGCTATATTACACGATAATAGCAAAGTGTAAATTGGAAGATTAGTTGTATTTAGCTGAAGAAAAAAAAGGCCATGGGAAACAAATATTACTTTATTCACTTGTACATACATCATTAGAAATTATCTATTTTGCAGAGGTGAATATACTGTGGGCAGCGCACCAGGTACATCATAGTTCTGAAGATTACAACTTGTTCACAGCCCTGAGACAATCCTTTCTGCAGAGATACACCTCCTGGGTAAGTTGCACAGGATTTGACAAACAATATCACCATGATTTAGTAGAAGTGAAAATACAGTGTTTATTTCCTTTTGAAGGAGAAGATTAATTATTTAAGATATTTGGCTCTGAAAAGCAGAGGAGATGAAATGGAAGAATCTGAAAGTTGTAAGCTTTAAAAGTAATTCATCAATGCTTTTAGAGCAAACCTGAAAAGAGATACAATAGTTAAGACTAGTTCTTTTTAATATGTTCATGATTTCCCAAGTAAAAAGGATAGTTCTTTATTTAGTTATTCATGCATAAGTATGGGAAAAGTTCAGAGTATAATATAACCACTCTAAAATTTCTCTGTAGCTGAATGGAGCAGAGAAAGAAACAAGTAAAGATTACTTTGGACACATGCAAACAGATTTATTTGTCTCCGCTAGTGACATGTGTCAGCACTCAAAGTCAAAGAAGTATGCCACCACTTTTACCTAGTTTTGTTTCAGATAAAATTTAAATAGTGAGTTATATACGCATCAAAATAGAAAATAAGACAGTTACTCACAGATTTATAAACATATATTTTCAGATACATTCATAAATTCGTTGAAAATACTATCCCATTTTTAGTTTTGGGCTCAGGGTAATTGCCACTTTTCATCAGTTGCTTTCTTATATTCTCTTTTGAATGCTTTTTTTTTTAACTTAGATTTTTTGTTTCTTTCTTTTTTTAAGATTATAATTTGACAATTTGAACTATCTGCATTAGATATTAAAGTAACGTTAAATATATATTATAAAGTATATAAAACGTATAAAAGTTGTGCTCCAGTGAGGTGTAATACAGGTGGGTGGAAGAAACTCACAGACCTCTGGCAATTTCTGTGATTAGCCTATGAGCAACTGGATTTGTCTCACATAAATGAACGTGGGTTTAGCCTGTTCATAATTTTTTCACAAGCATAATGTGAGATTAGTAGGTTCAAAAAAAAAAAAAAAAAAAAAAAAAAGAGTTTCTTTAGGAACCTGAGAAAGGGATACTATTTCTGAGTTTTGTCTTAAACTCTTTTCTATAAATTCATGTTAACTTTATTCATAAAATAGTCATCTGATGTTAGCAGCAATGCCTCAACTTTAAATGGCCATAATGAACAGTAGTGGAAATATCTCTGTCACTGCTCTGCTTCCTATATAAATACGGCCATGTTAAAGATTTAACCTTTGAACATATACCCATTGGGACCATATGTTCAAATGCTTAACAAAAACAATAATTCAAAAGAGACAAAAAGCCTGTGTGTGTACAGATGGGTGTGTGTATGAGCACTTTGCTTGCTTGATTCTGAGGATGATGCCTTTGAGAGCACAAAATATTCAGGGAGGCCAAGATGTCTGGTTTTCTTAGGTTCTGGAGACCATCCTCAGGACCACACTGGTATCATTTGGCAAATAACATGCTCATTTAACATTGATTTGCTTTGAGAAAAGGGAAAACAGTGTAGAAATCCACTTCTACCAAATATTTGATATTAACCAAAGCATTTTGTTGATGTAAATATGAGGATTTTCCTCTCTCCATAATTTTTGGGAAGTGTCTGGTTTTCTTTCTCCAAAGCCTTAATGTGCATGAACACAATTCCTGCTAATTCTTACACTTGTGTTATTTTTGGACTGCCAGACTTTCCCAGAACCTCATGGATGAATCTGCTTGGAAGCTGAAACTCAGTGAAATCTTTAGTTAATCTTTGAGAGTAGTCTGATGTCACTGAAACTGTACTGTTGAATGCAGTTTCCATCCAGTTCTGTGGGTGCTGTGAGAAAGTCATGGTGGATGTTGTGGGATTGTGAGACTTTTCTGTTGCCAGATCTGTATGTGTTTTAAGTTAAACATTGTAAGATAAATAAATCAGCATAACAATCTGTGTGGGTTGTGCTTGGGCTGATTGAAAAGATGTGAAATGAAAGAGAAGAGAAAAACATGTTTTAAGTACAATCACTGGCATGAGCTGTACTGACCTTGAAATTGAATGTCTGTCACTTCAAATCACTTGCACACAAAGCATTTCCATTTGTCCAGTGGAGAGGCTGTGGAGAAGCAGACCTACTGTTAGACTGAGAAGTGGTTTTGAAGCCTATTTGGAATGAAAAGATGGAAAGAGTGTGTATTAATTTTTAAGAAGACATCAGCAAGCTGATGTTGTATACAGTTTTTTGTGCAGTTGTGAAAGGAGGATGCATGAAAAGATGTGGCTTAGTTCCTTGAGTACCAGTACTTAACTGTCACCCAAGAGTAAGACTTTAGTTTGAAATTTATATAAAGCTATCTAATCAACTTAGATCTAATGGTTTGAATTACACCTGATGCTTTAAAAGTAGTGGAAATGCCTGTATATAATTTTAGAAAGGAAACAGGTAACTCTTTGTTCCGGCACAGAATCTTTATTTCCCAATGAATCCTCACAAAAGTATATCTCATGTGAACTAGCTAGCTAGCTGGGAGTAATTTTCTGGCAGAGCATCAGAGCATTGCTGTGCACCATAGTCCCTTTGCTTTTTGCTGAGAAGATTAGCAGCTAACCCCAGCGACAGGGCCTAGAGAGAGATGGACTCAGTGCTGGTCCTGTTCAGGAAACTCTGCCCTTCTGCTAAACTTCATAATATTCACATCTTTCCATTTCTTTGTGGAAGCATTTATAAGTTTTTACTTAGTAGAGACAGAAAGATAGAGAATGCCCAATTCAGAGAGCATTCAGCAATGTGGTGGACATACACTGTTCCAGAAAAGCCAATTCCTTAGTTGTTGACACGCAGCTGCGATGCATGAATTCCTCTCTGCTTCCTCAATGAGTGCATTTCCCAGGTTATCACTCACTGTGGCTCTCTCTCAATTTCTGTTGCTGAATTCACACATGGGAAAAGATTTGAGTGTGACATTTTTCTGCAGTTTTGACCAGAAATTCCATCTCTGAGCCAGGAAAGCTTTTCTTTTGCAGATTAGTGAAAGCTGGTAAGTTCCCAGGAAATGTTTTGATTTGGTAAATTGGTGTTTCCAGTCAAAAATTTCTTTTCTTTCTGATGTTGATCTTGTTGCAGTACAACCACAAATGGGAGACTTTTTTTTATATAAGAGGATTTTATCTCTTTGTATGGCTTCAGCTTTCAGAAATGATCTTTCAAATCCTGTCTCTATAAAATAAAGCTTGCATTGAAAGAAACATGAGGCAGCTAGAAAAGCATTCTCAATTTTACGTATTTATATGATATTTTCTTCATCTTGCTATTTAGTAGGAAAATCCCAGTAGTCATTTCTGAGAAGTAGGTTACAAAATAAATGTGAAGATGATCCTTCCTTCCCCTCTGAGTTACCTGTAAATACCACCAAATTGCATTCTGCAACTTTTAGGGGAAAAGCATATTATCTTTAACTCTGCTTTAAATCCTGCAATCACTTCCATTAATAATCTGAAAGCCATCTGTTTTTTTCTTTTTTTCAACCAACTTCCTCTCTGTTCTTTTTTTTAAAAAAAAAAAAAAAAAAAATTCCTGCTCTTATCATGCCATTAGACAGGTATAATCAATAATAAGAGAAAATTGCAGTAACTTTACTGGCCATGTGTCCTAGTCCTTCCTTGACTTCACTGTAAGATTTTGAGAAAAAACATGCCAGCCTTCTGGCTGTCATGAGACAAATATCTCCCAGTCTCTTTTCCTGGAGCTTACTGCACTTTTAGTAATTGAATACGAAGGGTGTCCAGGTTGCTGGTAGTCTGATCTGCTCTAAATATTTAACTCTAAAAAATGTCTCATAACCATCTCAAAATTTCATACTTAAATGCTGCACCTCCATGATGACATTTACTAGCTCCCACCTTCAGTAAGAGTAGCTGTGAATTTGTGTGAATTTACTGAGATTGCATGATTATTAGGAATTAAATGTGTAAAATTCAACTTCTCAATATATTTTTCTCTTTTTTGTTTTCAGAAATGTTGCACAAACACTTTGGTCTTCAAGTACTGATTAAAGCTAGATAATTGATGTTCTGTAAGTTCCACAAGCTCAGTGTAGTCCTTCTATCTTTGGATTCTTTTACATCTTGAAAAATAACTTCCATGGCACTTAAACAGGAAAAATGTATGTATAGTTTGTAGGGCAGCTGTGATCCATGTAGTCTTTGAATGTAGTTTTTGAAATCACAGCTGTCACAGCCCTAGAAGGTAATGCTGAAGCTCCTGTGATTTTGTGGTTTCTTTCCAGTGTTGAAGACCGCAGACCAAGCTGGAGTTATCCATTGGCTTCTAACGTTGGCAAATCACTGTGACTTTTGTGTCAGTCACATCCCTGGGTTGGAAGTGCATTTGTTTCACACCCCCAGTTTGACGTCTTACCTACTGGATAGACCTCTTGACAAAAACAGAAGGAATACCATCGTTAAATACTATGCATTGTTTTTCTGCAGACCTATGCTTAAGCAATTTGCTGCTCAGGAGGCCTATCAGGGCTATCAAATTTCTTATCTGATATTTAAAGACTTTATTTTGTGAGAAGTAGAAAAGGAATTTGAATCTGTTTAGGGAAGAATTAACTTGTTAATTCAGCTGATGTCATGCAAAGTCAGGTAAAAGGAGGAAGAAAAAAAGGTAATTTTTACATGTCAATGCATGCAAGTCTTACCCTATTGCTCAGCCAGCAGAATGGTTGATTGATTGTACTGAGACTTTTCTCTGTTTACAAGAAATAATCTTTTTTCTAAGGAGATAGTTTGCTGAAACTACTTCTGTGCTAGCCCATTGTTTGTAATCCAGCAGTATGTCCTGGTTTCAAGGGATATGCTGTGAGCAAGTTAGGGCAAAAATTTGTAATCAGTTTTGAAAGTGGAGTAAACTCTGCCTTACCCTTTTGGTGCTCGCATAGGGGATGTCTACAGTGCTATAAATTCACACCTTGCTTACTCTGTGATAATTCTCCCCTAAAAGTAAAGCCTTCGTGTGGAGGATATGTTGCTGTCTACTCCATGCATTTCAGAGAATAAATGTATCATTTCAGGATTTCTGAATTCTTTACTTGATTTTACTGCTTGCTCACTTTATTACTTTTGACAAATGACTTTCACAGCAATTTATATCTCACTCGTTATTCCTTGTCTAGTAGCAATATAATGATCAGTATCTATTCTATCTAACGTCTGCATTACAGAGGCATGTTGAGATGGAATTATCTTGCGCAATGCTTTGAGCTCCTGAGATAGTACTTCATTATATCATCACAATTTTAGATTGATAAGTGTATTATTTTTTTTCATTTTCCAGATGTTCAACTTACCCATGGCTCTTTTCATTCCACCATCAGTGTTTGCTGTTCATCTGCAATTTAATCTACTTTACCAGTTTTGGATACATACAGAGGTAAACCCCTTTTTTTTAAGACATGCCTAAACAGTTAGCCTGGAGCAGTGTCCTGGAAATCCACTAGCAGCTGATTTATTGTGTAAGAAAAATCTTTGTCTGACTTCTTTAAGGAGAAACATCTGTTCATTTTTATTCCTTTTTCTGAATATATATTGCTAAGTTTATAAGAAGCAATGAGGCCAGTTGGTCCCAATTAGATTAAAAAAAAAAAAAAAAAAGTAACTGGAGGGAATCAAAAATTTTTTTGAATTTTAATACTATATTTTCCTATTTTGCAGCTTATTAAAAAATTTCTGGCAGATAACTACATCTGATTTCATTTGTAAGATAAATATTATAGGGAAAAATGTATTAAAAAAAATAGTGCTTTGGATTGTTTGGAGTTGCAGTTGAAATCAGATATTATTTCCATCTTATGTATGTAGTTCTCAGATGAAAAGATTTTGTTTCCTCTTAGCTATTTGTTTATGACTGTACTATTTATTTATTTTGTGAGTGCATTTGCAAAATCTATTTTACATACACGTAAAATTAATAACCCATGGCAATTATTAAGTAGTTTCCCACATTTCTCAAGTCATTGAACAACCTTCTGCCTTCTCCCGCATGCTACTTTTGCATGTTATGTCAGTAGCATGAATGTCAGTAGCCTCTACTAGGCTGCAAGCTAATTACCTCTGCTCTACTTTCACTCCTTTGATTACTCTGATGATTTAAATGCCTTTTTTCCTCCATTATGCCATCTATAGGACAGTTCACTTGCAAAACAATTTTATTCTATTTGCTCTTCTAGGTGATCATGTTGGTTAAATTCCTGTTTTTATTTTATCTTTTCTGTGTGCTTGCCTATATATATATATATATATATATATATGTACATATACATGTATAAACACCACAACCATCAAAAATAAGCTATTTACAGTAGCCCAATAGCAAACTTTTGCTACTGTCAGTTCTTCTGGACAAATTTCTAAAAAAATTAATACGTGTCTTGAGTTCTGCAATATCAAGTGAATTCCAAAAATTTGCAATATATGTAACAAACTTCACCAAAACTGTAATAAACTCAAGTTAATGTTATCAAAATGTTTTGAGCAAATATGATCCAACAGTTTGAAACTATAGCAAATAAATACTCTGAGTTGCACAGTAGCAGTTTCTTTGACCATGCCTTGGGATCTCCAAATTGGTTTTTAGGTGTTTTATTCCTAAAAAAAAAATATTATGTGCCTTATTTAGCTGTTCTCTTCTGTCTGAAGCTATTTGTTCCTTGGCTCAGAGATGTCTCTGGTGTTTAGGAGTAAGTCAATGAGTCCAAGCACTGGTGCCACAGTGTACATCTAAAGTGAATTTCAGAAGCCTATGAGTCACCTACATCTCTCTAAAGTCCTAAATCCTTCATAGGACTTTAAAGCAATTTTTATATCGTATGAGCCAAGTTTAGACAGTAGTGTAAACAGGAATGAATTTCACTCTCAATGAAAAGATAAGCACTTCTTACTGCTAAGTTAGTGTGTCAGTAGGAAAGCAGTGGATCTTTTATACAGATCCAGTTAGTCCAATCATAGATCTTTGTTTATTAAAGAGACATATTCGTAGCGTTGATATTATTGAAATTGTAATGCAAATAAAATCAGTTGAAATGCGTTGAAGTCATGCTTTAAGGTAAAAAATAATGTCAAAATAGAAATAGGGTTACGCCCTATTCTTCTGTTGAGAGTAAGGATCTAATAGACAAGAGAATATAAAGGAGGGGAAATAGCAACAGCTACTGTAGACATGGAGGTTTAAAATAGCCAGTATTTTTGATGAAGTTAAACTGATTTTTAACTATTATACTCAATTTTGTTCATTTTGTGACAACTGTTACAATTTTAACTTTTTTGAGATTTTCCCTCTTTTTTTTTTTTTTTTTAATTATTTTCCTGACTTTGTTTAACAGTGTTAAATAATGTAAATATAGGAAAGTTTGCATCTAAGGGAAGGAATTTTATTTAAGTCTAGATTTTGGAGAGTTTTTGTTGCTTAAAGAAATAGTTCAAATTGAGTTTAATAATTAAAAAGCAGTCATTCTACTGTGCTGAAATTTTGCATGCTGTGTTTCAGTTTAGAGCAAAAGTTTATAGCCCAAGTATGATCCCTGATATTTTCCCAAATTTTGCTTAAAATACGTTCAGTACCATTAAAAAAAATAGAGAAGTTTCCTGTGTTATCACTTTGGCATTCTTCAAGATTTGTTGTGTCAGTTTTTGTTTTGCTTTCCTACAGGCAGATTAAGGACAAACTGTTTTATTTTAACTCAAATAGCTCATATATTCCTGCAAAGACAATCATAAAGATTATCCTGTACCCACTCTTTCTGTCTCAGTGTTCTCAATTGCCTGTATTCTTGGTATTAGCTAACTTGTGTCCTTTTATTTTAAATAAGTTCTCAATTTTACACATTATAAATTTTATACAACAACTACTCTATACCATTTTTTAGTAATAATAAAAGACCCTTAGCACTGAAATCAGAAGGGGCTGGACATGAGCCAGCAGTGTGTCCTTACAGCCCAAAAAGCCAACAGTATCCTGGGCTGCGTCAAAAGAAGTGTGGCCAGCAGGGCAAGGGAGGTGATCTGCTCTATGCTGTTGAGACCTCACCTGGAGTACTGCAACCAGGTGTGTTGTACAGTACAAGACAGATATTGACCTGTTGAAACAAGTCCAGAGGAGGGTCATAAAGTGATCAGGATCATAAAGTGATCCAAGTAATGGAACACCTCTCCTCCAATGACAAGCTGAGAGAGCTGGGGCTGTTCAGCCTGGAGAAGAGAAGGCTCTGGGGGGACCTGACTGCAGCCTGTCAGTATCTAAAGGGAAGGGGAACAACCTGATCTAGCTGTAGATGTCCCTGCTCATTGCAAGGAATTAGAACTAGACCTCTAAAGGTGCCTTCCAACTCAAACAATTTGATAATTCTAGATACAAGTAAGGCATTTCTGTAGTAATTAAGGAAGTAAAGGTTTTCCGAGAGTGAAAACACAACTGTGTCATTTAGATAAATTATGCATTTTTCTTTGGTATATTCAGCAGTTGGAACAATTCCTGCTGTCTGAAGTTCACCTTTTTTCAGTACTTCTGTATGTTACCACACTGTCTACATAGCAATCTGAAATAAGACAAATTTTCCAAAGACTTTTTTAAAATCTCAGAATAACACCTAATGGTATTGAAATAATTGTATTCATTGCTTATTTAGGTGACAGAAAATATAAGTGAATCTGTAATGGTGCATAAAATCAGGATCCCAGTAATTCAAGGGAAAACAGTTTTTGGTTCAGTCCAGTCCAATTTAGGCTAATAGAATGAGTCAGTCAGTAGATGTGGCCTTAAATGGGCAGGGAGAAATGTTTCTATGAGGAGACCATAAGGGAAGTTCAAAAATAAATAACTAAAATAATATTTTGGTTATAGAGCACTAAAAATCTAATTTTTCAAAAGCCACAAAATGTTTCAGGACTGTTACTGACAGACAGAAATATTCAATTTCAGTTTATTTTCACAGGTGATTTCGAAGTTCTATGGCTTCTACTAAACTATATCCTTCCATAATGCATTTATAACAACCAATAAGTTAGGAGCATTTATAACCTGATAAACACCTGTGAAAAAACAAAAATTAGTTTCTGTAGATTTAGCTGTAATTTTTATGAGATGTCAGATTGTATTTGGAAAATATCAACTGAATCAATCCCTTTTGGTAGTAATTGTGGAGGCAGGTTATAGCTTGCCTGTTTGATCTTTGACATGCATTAGTTTCTGTTTAGTTTTCTAATTTGGGGAAAGGCCATAATCTATGCCTTTTACCATACTCACAGATGTCAGATTTCTTAAAGCACCTCTTATTCCCTTGTTTAAGTCTTCCTGCATCATCAAAGCAGATAAAAGTGATGCACTCCAATTAACAAGGAATAACATAGCTGAAAACAGCAGGAAAGGACTGGGAAACAATTTAGCAGCACAGGCTGGCAAAAAAGAATTGAAATTGCTCTAGACATAGTCCAAAACATGTGCGTTTATATCCGAAAACAATGATTCAGGAAAGCTGAAACTTGCTATGGAAGTATGCCAAGTATGCTGTATTTAATGCCATCTCCACCCCCAAATTCACAACTATGAGACACAGAGGAAAGCAAAGGAAGAATGATTTCAGTAGGATGCTCCTATACTGTGTGCAGGTTAAAGCTTGACTTTCTTTAGCTTTGACTTATCTCCATTTTATTTAATTTAAAAAATCAAAGAAAGATAGAAATTGTGGAGACTTCATTCTTTCATAGGAGAGAATTCTGTTTCTGGCCATGTAAAGCACATTAGCTGTCAGTACAGGTGAGTTGTTGTAGTTCAGTCCTGAAGTCCTTAAGGCCATCATCTCTTACCTAGGAAGATAGCCATATTCAGAAAAAATCTTCAGCGGATTTTGAAATGCAGGCACAAATTCAATGAGGAAATTAAACAAGCATGTTAAAGAACAAAGTAAAATTAAGTAAAATACAAACAAATGCACATAGCTCTTTTAAGCAGCAATACACTTGTGAATACCAAATCAATATCAAGATCTGTTCTTTAAGGTCTAGTGGACATAGATGTGTCTTCATGCGGGAACTATTTAAGAGAAATGTCCAGTAGGTGACAGTTAGAAGAATTATAATTCTTTAGGACAATGTGATAAGTAAGTGACAGCGTTAAACAACAGGTAAGATATTCAAGAGGATAAAGAGTAACGGTCTTAAACTAAAAGAAAGTTTAGATTAGATATTTTTACTTAGACAGTGGTAAGATGCTGGTGCAGGCTGCCCATAGAACCTGTGGATCCACCATCCCTGGAGGTGTTCAAAGCCAGGTTGGTTGGGGCCTTGGGTGGCCTGGTCTGGTGGGTGGCAACTCTGCCGAGGCAGGGGGTTGGAACTGGGTGGGCTTTATGGTCACTTCCAACACAAGCCACTCAGGGA